AATTTAATGTGCATTGGTATTTTGCCTGTATATACTCTGAGAGTGTAAGTTTCCCTGGAACTGGAGTTACAGATGGTTATGAGTTGCCATGTGGATGCTGGGAATTGAACCTGGGTCCTCTGGAAGAACAGACAGTGCTCTTAACTGCTGAGCCATCTTTCCAGCCCTTTAAATTATTTTTCTTAACCACTGCACAAGAGGCATATATACTGCTATTGCTCTCGTTTTATAGAGGGCACAGTTGAGAGTTAGAGATTAGGAATGGACCGTGAACCAGCTAGTGAGAGCCAGGCACTGTGCCAGGTGTCATGGATCTGGAGGTAAATGACACCGATGGGTTCTCAGCTCAGGTGACAGTGTCCATTCTCATCAGCCAAATGCCAGAGAAATCAGTGAAGTGCTATAGGAAAGGCTCACTGCACGCTGGCCAGTGCACAAAGAAAGAACTCCTGAAGGCTCAGGAGACAGCATAGTAAAAGACAGTTTGCATACCTGCCATCCCTCACGGATCTTCTGATTGAAGATCCCATATTCATAGCGGATGCCATATCCATAGGCTGCAAGTCCCAGGGTTGCCATGGAGTCCAGGAAACAGGCTGAATTTGACCACGGGAACAAATAGACAGAATCAGCAAGCTTAGCATCAATGCTAAACCTTTCTTTTAAGAACATGGAGGCCATACAACAGTCTTCTATCAGGAAACATTTTCATTTAAGCAGAGATATCACTGCATGGAATTTACTGGGGTTTTAAATAACCTTTTCTAATTATAAAATTAATACCATAGAGAAGTTAGAAAGTGTAAAAATGTCTAAAGAAAATAGATAGCACACCCTTCCTCCCCATCCTGAATAACCATTGTGGTAGCATTGAGAACAAATATGAAAACTACCTACATTGGGTGGATTGACTGTTGTCACCCATAGTTGTTATAAGGGAAACTGTCTCTATGACGGCCTGCTGAACTGTATCCCCAAAAAACAGAAACTTAAGTGAGACCTGTTCTGTCATAGCACCCAGCTGACTGATGGAATTCCATTGCTCTTTGGACACTAGTGACTGTATGCTCCAGGAAGTGGATTTTATGGATCAGGAAGTGGACCCTGCCTCTCTGATCTAAGCCTTTTAACCATTTGTAGTAATTCTGTTTCCTTCATCTGTGACAGCCAGTACCCTTGGCAGCAACAGCATCCAATTCACCCAGAATACTAGGAATTCTGCTGAGGGTAGAGGGCTTCAGCGCAAGATTTTCCTTGCTGTTTTTGTCATTTGCATTGTGAGAGGAGGCACTGGGTGGGGGAGAACTATATAGACCCAGAGTCCTGGTATAACATAGCTTCTGAATAAGTCAGCCCTAAGGTCTGGGGCTCTTGTTCTGTGATTGCCATGCCATTGTTGATGTAATGATTTTCTTACTAGATTTTCTGTTACCTAGTGACAGAGCTTCAGAACTAGAAGAGCCAATCAGCAGGCAGAGAAGGGATCTATCTAGTCCTTGGATACAATCCAAAGGGTTGCATTAACCTGACTGTTCCTCTTGGGAATCTGAGCTGTCATGGAATGAGGAAACCTACAGTAGGAATTCAAACTGGAAAACTGTAACTCAAACTATAAGGTTATGTGTTGTGTTCATAGCTTAACTCTAAGACAGAGCCATAATCACAAAGCACTATGCCTAGAGTAAGCCTAACATGACCAATCCCTGCTTTGTCTGACCTGTGGCTGGCATTCCTTAGGTCCTGATGAGTTCATCCTTAGAGCCTGAGGATGGAGCCCTGACTTTCACAGTCAGGAAAGAGACTAGGGCATTTGAGAATGACTCAGCCTCACTTGCTGCTTTATTCTCTGGCCTTCCCAAACAGCAGAGGCGCAAGACCTTTAATAGCAGGTCCAGAGCAGAGCGAACAGTGCTAGCCAGTATCGAAGTGAGTGAGTTTCACATAAAAGCAAAGCAGACCAATTCCTGTTCTAGATAGGCTTTCTGCTGGTGCTGTTAGCCTCCGTATGGCCCAGGGAATCCTGGGAACTCCTCAGATGAGCAACTTCATGGGATGATGGCAAACAGCCTACCTGAAATACTTTTCTGTATTTTACTACTAGTGGCCACACTAATGCAAACTGTCGGTAATACTGAAAGTTTTCAATAAAATGAGACAGATGCAAATGACTTTGGAGTAATGTGGGAGGGGATGCAAAATTAACAGACTTTAATGAAATATGATAGCATCCCCTTTGACTGCCTTCTTCAAGCCCACGCTCCTCTCTGGCACATTTAACATTTAAACTCAACTCAGTATTTGAATTCAAACTCTCCCCTATGTCTCTATAAACATAACTCAAAAGATTTAGCTTTTTAATAATATAAGTGGCACCACTCTGTATGGGTTTTAATGGAACTTGCTTTGCTTTGAGCATGGCGATTCACGCAGGCAAGTTCATCAACCAGGCACACAGGTCTATATGGACAGGCTACTTTTAATGCAGTTTTAGAAGCAGCAGGTAACAGCGCTTTCCTGCTGTTTCACCTGTCCTTTTCTGCACGTGCTGCGTTTGGTATCTGCTTTGGAGACACTCTCCTGAAGAGTAGAAATGCTTGGTTATAGGGTGTGATGTTTAACATCAGGTCAACCAGGATCTAGACTAGCTCAAGAGAGGAATCTATGGGTATGTATGTCTGAATGTGGCAGCGGTAGCCTTGGGTGGTGAGAGGGTGGGGCTCCATTCCAGGGTCTGGGGCCCTGAGTTGTATAACCAGGAGAAAGCTGGCCAGCATGAACATTTACTTCCCTCTGCTTCCTGAGGCAGATGCATATGACCAGCTGCCTCAGGGACCTGTTACCATGACTTCTCCACTGTGCCTTGGAACTCTGAGCAAAACTCAACCCTCCCTTCCTTAAA